ATCCATCCATCCATCCATCCTTATTCCTGCTGGTGTTGTGAGGAATACTGTTGCCTATCTCTTCTGCCAATAGGCAAGAGGTGGGGTACCACCTGGACAGTTTGCAATCTATCCCAGGGCAACAAAGAGACAAACAGGACAAACAACCCTTCATGCACACACTGACACACCTATGGAGATTTTAGTTAAGCCAATTAACTTAACAGTCATGTTTTTGGACTTTGGGAGGAAGCCGGAGTACCCAGAGAGAACCCACACATTCACAGGGTGAACATGCAACTCCATGCAGAAAGACCCCGGGAACCGAACCCAGAACCTTATTGCTGCGAGACAGTGCTACCCACTGCATATTCTACTGATCAACAGCCTCACACATCTCGGCTTTGCACAAAATAAGACTTTATCCATGAAAAATTCACCTATATCTTATTTCCACAGGCAGCAGTTTTATCACAGGATAATTTAAAACAAGCCAAATGTATAGATAAATATAAGTTTACTAAACTCATAGTTTCTGCTTGATTTAACAGGGAATGAAGGCAACAGATATTATATTCAATGGAAAATAAATACTGTAAAATCCATCTCTTTAAAATGTCTTCAAACTATAACATTTAGCTTAGTTATATTATCATCAATATATCCTACCCTTTTATATTTCTTATGCTTAGGTTGTTATTTTTTCATGACATATCAGACTTTTAGACCCTCATTGGTAAATGCACAATGTGAAAGGGCTTTAATTAACATTTTTTTATGAAATATAAATTGTGTAAATTTGTAATCTGCTTTAATGATATAAAGAAAAAATAGTAGTTTTGTTATTTTTTTCTTGTTTACGATAGCAGACTGTGGAATAAAAACATCTGACAGAAGTAACAGCTCCTTGCATAGTATTCTTTAGATACCCACAATGTTATACCATGAGCGTGCATTCCTTTGTAATGTAATTTCTTTGTCACCTTTTTTCCTCCTGGTGTTTGTTTGGGGTGTTGTAACTTTGGTGCTGTTTTTGCACGTTTGATTATCTAGAAAATAGTTAAGTGCAGCAACCACTAGAGGGCGGAAATATCCCACAAACCAGGGTTCTCCAACTGCTGTCCTTAATTCCTCCTGCCCTGCAGCTCTTAGATAAATTCCTGGTTAAATTAACAAATGACTCATTAACAGGTTGAAGAACAGGTGAAGGTAATTTAATTATTACAGTGAGCTGTGTTTAAGCAGGGTCATTTAAAGCTTCAGCAGCTCTAGAGTCTAGGAGAATATAGTTAGGTTTATAGGATATTTATTCCATCTAGTGGTTGCTGCAAAACTCTTAAATTGTATATCTGTTAGAGGCACATAGGAGATAAAGTTTCAAGGTAATTGAACAACATCACATTAAAAGGAATGTTAAATGAATAGAGATGTTGTCTGTCTATGTTTTTCTGGCCCTTCCTGAAGTGTTTGTCAATGGGATGTTCAAATTAATTATTTTGGCTTTTCTACTTCTGAATGATATAGCATTTAGGCAGTAATCATAAGAAGATATGAAATGACATCTCCACAGAAGGTTAGACCGAAAGCTTTTTTTTTTTCTTTAATGAAGGAGGCGATTCATTGGAGGAAATGACTTATCTGACAGCATTTGTTTTGTGCATAAAAAAAAATAAATATCATTCACTAGGTCCGTTACACATTAGCTTAAAAAAAACAAACAAACATTGCATGTCCATTTGACGAGGATCTTATTAAAAAAAGATGGATTTTTTTTTTTTTTTTTTTTTTTTTTTTACAGAGAATTCTATATTTATAGGGAGTGTTGGAGCTATTTATTCTTTATTTCTTTATCCATTTGAATTGTGTTAATTCCTAAACTTATATATTTTTTGTATTATTTACAGACTTAATTTATAGGTTAATTGTTGCATTTTTGTGCATCTATTTTTTGTTGTTTTATTATTTTTCTTTATTTTATGTAAAACAGGAAGAAATGTGGGCGGTCCACTTTCTATAATTGTAGGAGCCTGGTAAGGACCAGCAGGCATTTGGGTTAGGGGCCTATGGGTTTTTACCAGTGCAAGAGAGGTAACAGGGCAAGGAAAGTTTGAACTCTGTAATGTGACAAAATATAGGAAATAAATCAACTAAACATCTACAAGTTTGGACTTCCACTTCTTTTGCCTGCGTCAAGAAAACGTGACCCCAGTGCCTATAGTGGCTTATTGGAACTTAATTGGATGTTTGGTTTGACAAACAATTGCCACTACAGCCAAGTAAAAACCCACCTGTGGATCAAGTAAAAACACCCTGTGGAACAAGTAAGGAACCAGCCCATGGACTAAAAGGAATACCTCATCAATCAACATGCTGGATTTATGGATCTCAAGGATTCCCTTCAAACAAAAGGTTTTGGATCATCTTTGATTAAATCAAGCGACTTGATGCGTCAGACTTGGATGGACACGTCACTCATTCATCAAGCTGGTATGTGACAATATTGTTCAAGCTATAAAGGAAAATAGTGAAACTACTGGAGTTTAAAGACATTATTTCACTCCAAAGACTGATGAGATGAGTCTGATGTGACAAATTGATGCGTAATTGGATCAAGCCGTGAGCCGACGCCCAACATGGAAATGTTTGTTCACAAGAATCAATCTCTTTAAACAAAGAGATACGTTTGTGCTTTTCCTTGTGGATTATTCGTGGACTAAGATGCTTTAAATGTTTGAAATGATTCAAAGAATCTGCAAAAATGTCTGATGTAAAGAGCAAAGAGGATGACACCCAGACGTCACAAAACAAAAGAACCATCAAATTTACACAAAAGGGTTTGGAGTTTTATATAAAAACATGTCAAGAAAAACGAAGTTTAAAGTGTAAACAAGCTTCAAAATGTATGGAGAAAATCTCTGCATTAATGAGCTCACAAGAAAATGTTAAGAAAGTGGCTTCTGACTTTGCAAAGTTTATTAAATGCTATCAAGAAGCAACTGATTTACACGAATCACTTTTAGGTTTGCCGTTGCCAGATGAAGAAGTAAAAAGACAAACTGTGTATTTTCAGTCTAAGGTGACGACTTTCTCTGATTTTGTGGACAATGTAAAGGTTTGGTTGACAGAAGCAGGAGATCCATATATGGAACAGAAAAACTATGTTGATGATCAGGTTGTTGAAGATCCTGATGAAATAAATCCTGAAGACAATGTTTCTAATATTACAAGCATAAAGCCACGTTCAAAAACATCTTCACAGCAGTCTCGGGCTTCATCCACCTCTTCTGCACGCATTAAAGCTGCGGCTGAAAAGGCAGCGCTGATGGAGAGACTCGCCGCGTTGGACAGAAAACATCTGATCGAAGCTCAAGAGGAAAACCTGAGAAAGGAAAAGTTAGACCTGGAAACAGAGTTGGCAGCAACTAACGCAAAACTTAATGTATTAAAAATAAATTCAGTTGCTAGTTCTAAACAATCTGATGGGATGAACTCTTATTTTGAAAGAGCCCAAGGAAAGCACACGCCCCTGCTAAATCCTCTCGCTGATGAGTTTGTTCTGAAAGAAAAAGAAAAGTCTTCATCCAACTTCCCTGTTGTCAGACTTAAACAAGGAGAGAGACAACTTCAAATGGATCAGATGAGAGTTAAAGTTGATTCTTCAACTCAAGCAACAGAGCAGACGCAACTTCAATCTCCTCCTTTGACTGAGAACTGTCAGAATGATATTGTAAACATCATGCAAAGACAAAATGACATTGCAGCCTTACTAGTAAAACAAAACTTATCGTCTGTTCTCCCATCCAGAAACATCCCTGTGTTTGATGGGGACCCCCTACAGTACAGATCATTTATGAATGCCTTTGAGAATGGAGTGGAGGCTAAAACTGACAACTGCAGCGACTGTTTGCACTTCCTAGAGCAGTTCACCAGGGGGCAGCCTAAAGATCTCGTGCATAGTTGTCAACACTTAGCTTCTGAGGAAGGTTATTCCAAAGCCAAATATCTTCTTGAAGAACATTTTGGAAATGAAAATAAAATAACTTCTGCGTATATGGAGAAGATTATGAGTTGGACACCAATAAAAGGGGATGATGTGAAAAGTCTACAATCATTCTCTCTTTTTCTTCAAGGTTGTTCAAATCTGACACAACAAATTGTTTACATGAAGGAGTTGGATTTACCTTCAAATATGAGAACAATTGTCCTGAAACTTCCATATAAACTGAGGGAAAAATGGAGAGTTACTGCTTATGAGCTACAGGAGCAAACTGGTCACCGAGCGTTGTTTACTGATCTGGTTGCTTTCATAACAAAGGAAGTAAAAGTAGCATCAGATCCAGTGTTTGGCAATATCCAAGACCCACCAACAGGGAACAACTCCAAAGTTCCAAGTTACAGCAAGCAAAGAAAAAAGGGAAGCAGTTTTGCCACTAATGTCAGCACAATTCCAGAAGCCAGAACTCACTCAACTGAAAACAGGACCAAGTCTACTGTTCTTCACAGCTGCTTGTTTTGTTTACAAAGAAATCATCTACTGGAAAACTGTGTGCAGTTTAAAGCTAAAATGCATCGGGACAAGTTGACTTTCATTAAACAAAAGGGGATTTGTTTCAGTTGTCTGAAAGTTGGTCACACAAGCAAAGACTGCAGGAGTCGTTTGGATTGCAATGTGTGTCACCAAAAGCATCCGGGGGTTCTTCACATAGAGCAAAAGGAGCCAGGAGCCTCTTCAGAACAAATCCAACAGACAACAAGGTCTCATGTCAACTTCTCAACTGCAACCACCCAGACGTGTGGGCATATTGGGGCTGGTCATGATGATAATGCTGTTTTTTCTATTGTTGCAGTTAAAGTTAAAAGTCAAAAGAGCAACAAAGTTGTGCAAACTTATGCATTTCTTGATCCAGGAAGTTCAGGTACGTTCTGTACAGAAACTCTGGCAAAAAGTCTGAACATAAAGGGCAAAAGAACAAATATTATGCTGAGAACAATGAGTCAAAATAAGATTGTTAATGTACAAGTTTTGTCTGGTTTGGAAATCTCTGAATTGGAAACAAATGATTTCATAGAGCTACCAGATGTTTTGACTCAAAGTACCATGCCAGTTTCTACATTGAATATTCCCCAGCAAAAGGACATTGATCAGTGGCCTCATCTTAAACCTGTTAAGCTTCATAGCATCAATGCAGATGTGGAACTACTGATAGGAACTGATGCTTCAAATGTTTTAGAGCCCTGGGAGGTGATCAACAGTGTAGATGGTGGGCCTTATGCTGTAAAAACTAAAGTTGGCTGGGTCATAAATGGTCCCCTGCACACTAGAAGCCACAGCAAAAATAGAAATGTTTGCACTGCTGTGACAGCCAACAGGATCTCTGTTGAGCATCTTGAAGAAATGCTGATCAAACAGTACAATCATGATTTTAACGAAAGATCATCAGAGGAGAAAACTGAAATGTCTAGAGAGGATTTGCATTTCATGAACATTGTCAATAACTCTACAAAACTTATTAAAGGTCATTATAATATTGACTTACCTTTCAGGAGTGAAAGCCCCTGCTTTCCAAATAACATCTGTGTTGCAGAGCAGCGCCTCCAGAGCCTCAGAAGGAGATTTGAAAAGGATGCTGAGTACAAGGAGGAATACACTGCATGTGTAAACAACATGCTGCAGCAAGGACATGCTGAGGCTGTACCAGCAGAGGACCTACAGAAAGGTAATGGACAACTGTGGTACATTCCTCATCATGGAGTGCATCATCCCACAAAAGGAAAGTTGAGAGTTGTATTTGATTGTGGATCAACCTACAAAGGAGCATCACTGAACAGTCAGCTTTTACAGGGACCTGACCTCACAAACTCTCTGGTTGGAGTTCTCATTAGATTTAGAAAGGAGCCTGTTACACTAATGGCTGACATTAATGCCATGTTTCACCAAGTTTGTGTCTCTGAAAAACATGTCAACTTCCTTCGTTTCCTGTGGTGGCATCATGGTGACACATCAAAACCTGCACAGGAGTTCAGGATGTTGGTTCATTTGTTTGGAGCAGTGTCTTCACCCAGCTGTGCAAATTATGCTCTGCAAAGAACTGCTGATGATAACGCACAACAGTTTCCAGCTGAAGTGGTTGATACTATCAAAAATAACTTTTATGTGGATGACTGTTTAAAATCTGTTCCCACAGAAGAAGATGCAATTCACATGGTGAAGAGGCTGACGGACCTCTGCTCTAAGGGAGGATTTGTGCTCTCAAAATGGGTAAGCAACAGTCGCACAGTGCTCATGTCCATTCCAGAGGAAAGGAGAGCAAAAGAAATTAAGAATCTGGATTTGGACACAGATGAACTTCCGGTCGAGAGAGTACTGGGTTTACAGTGGAGCATCGAAACAGATGAGTTCAAGTTCAGAACCTCTGTGCAGGACCGCCCACAGACCAGAAGGGGCATTTTGTCTGTGGTTCGTTCACTATATGCTCCCTTGGGAATCCTAGCTCCCTTCAGTATGCCAGCTAAACTGCTGCTACAAGAACTTTGTCGACAAAACTTGAAGTGGGATGAAGTTATTCCCCATTCTCTTTGTAGGAAGTGGCTCGACTGGCTGGAGGACCTCCAGCTGATCTCCAGTTTTAAGGTGGATCGTTGCATCAAACCAAGCTGCATCAGGAAACCAGACAAAGGACAACTTCATCATTTCTCTGACGAAAAGCAAGAGTTGCTCCTATGAAGCAAACAACAATTCCCAGGTTGGAACTGACCGCTGCTGTTCTTGCTGTCCGAGTCAATAAACTGCTGCAAAAGGAGCTGCAAATACAATTGGAAAAACCTGTTTTCTGGACTGATAGTACAACAGTACTAAAATATATCTCCAGTGAAACCAGAAGATTTCACACCTTTGTTGCAAACAGGATCTCTGTCATCCGAGAAGCAACAGATGTGAATCAGTGGAGATATGTTTCCTCCAAGGAAAATCCTGCAGATGATGCATCCAGAGGCATGAGAGCTGAGGAGTTCATTAAATGCAGGAGATGGATAAATGGGCCTGAATTTCTCCACAGATCAGAAGAGGAATGGCCTAAACTGGATGTGGATCACCATGCAATTCCTGCAGATGACCCAGAGGTCAAAAGGGACCTAGCCGTGAGTGTTCTTGTAAAGGAGTCACAAAATCCTACAAGCTATCTGATTCATTATTTTTCATCTTGGACAAAGCTTAAAACCTCTGTTGCCTGGTTTTTAAAGCTGAAAAACATTCTGATGCTGTTGCAACAGAAAAGGAAGGAGTTTGCTGCTGCAGACCTAAATAAAAATGAACCAGAAAAGCAAAACAAAGCCCTAGACAAGCAGATAGACAGATTCAAGACCACTCTGAAGAAAGAAAATCTGACTCCTGAAGACTTGGCCAAGGCAGAACTAGCCATTATTCAGTTTGCACAACAACAGAAATTTACAACTGAACTGGCTTTAATCACCAGTGGCCTTAAAGCAGTCTCTAAGAGAAGTTCTTTATACAAACTCGACCCAGTATTGGATGCTGGAGTCCTCAGAGTGGGTGGCAGGTTGAATAAATCAGCCATGCCTGTCGAAACAAAGCATCCTGCAATTTTGACAAAGGATATGCATGTGTCTACACTGATTTTACGCCATATTCATCAACAGTTGGGACATGCAGGAAGAGCTCATATGCTGTCAAGATTAAGACAAAAATACTGGATAATAAATGCTAATTCAGCTGCCAGAAAAATCATTTCTCACTGTGTTGTTTGCAGGTGTAACAGAGGAAAGTTTATTGAACAAAAGATGGCAGATCTGCCAGAAGAAAGAGTCCTGCCAGCCACCGCTCCTTTTACAAATGTTGGAGTGGATTACTTTGGTCCTGTAAGTGTTAAAAGAGGACGAAGCCTCCTGAAAAGGTATGGAGTTCTGTTCACTTGTTTCACCAGCCGTGCAGTGCATCTGGAAATGGCCTACACCCTCGATACAGATTCCTGTATAAATGCAGTCCGCAGGTTCATCTGTAGAAGAGGCCCAGTTTCCACCATCAGATCTGACAATGCCACAAATTTTGTTGGTGCAAATCGAGAGCTGAAAGAGAGTTTAGCTGAACTGAATCATGCTAAAATTCAAAATGCTTTTGTGCAGGATGGAATTAAATGGAACTTTAACATCCCAGCAGCATCTCACCAAGGTGGAGTTTGGGAGCGTCTGATTCGTTCCATAAGAAGTATTTTGGTTTCAGTTCTTAAAGAGCAAGTTTTGGATGATGAAGGGCTTCAAACAATTTTTTGTGAAGTTGAAGCCATATTAAACGACAGACCCATCACTAAAGTTTCCGATGACTCAAATGATCTTGAGGCACTAACATCCAACCATTTGTTGTTGTTAAAAACCAAACCAGTTTTGCCACCAGGATTGTTCAATCAAAAGGATCTTTTTGTCAGGAAAAGGTGGAAACAGGTGCAATACATGGCAGAGCTGTTCTGGAAAAGATGGCTTTCTGAGTACTTACCTCTGATGCAGGAAAGACAAAAATGGACAAGAACTAAACGATGTCTCACTCCTGGAGATGTTGTCTTAATTGCAGACTCTACAGCTCCAAGAGGAACATGGATGATGGCCAAGGTCTTGAGCGTAAACCAGGATGCAAAAGGCTTGGTCCGCTCTGTGCGATTACAAACAAAGACCAGTGTTCTCGAAAGACCCGTGACCAAACTTGTTTTGCTACTGGAAGCATCAACCTGAAGAATTAAGGACATGTTTGAGGGAATAGCTCCTTTTTCTTCATTTGTAATTGTGACAGTATTCACAATTAGGGGCCGGAGTGTTGGAGCTATTTATTCTTTATTTCTTTATCCATTTGAATTGTGTTAATTCCTAAACTTATATATTTTTTGTATTATTTACAGACTTAATTTATAGGTTAATTGTTGCATTTTTGTGCATCTATTTTTTGTTGTTTTATTATTTTTCTTTATTTTATGTAAAACAGGAAGAAATGTGGGCGGTCCACTTTCTATAATTGTAGGAGCCTGGTAAGGACCAGCAGGCATTTGGGTTAGGGGCCTATGGGTTTTTACCAGTGCAAGAGAGGTAACAGGGCAAGGAAAGTTTGAACTCTGTAATGTGACAAAATATAGGAAATAAATCAACTAAACATCTACAAGTTTGGACTTCCACTTCTTTTGCCTGCGTCAAGAAAACGTGACCCCAGTGCCTATAGTGGCTTATTGGAACTTAATTGGATGTTTGGTTTGACAAACAATTGCCACTACAGGAGAGATTTCTATAACTTATTTGACCAGTGGGGGCAGGAAGGAGGGCAAGAAACAAACAAACAAACACACAAAAAAACAGAGTCCAAAACATAAAACAACCCACCACCTTGGAGGCTGATGACAAAGATGAGGAGCGCCCATGGACGAAGGGGAGCACATACAGAGGTGCTTTAAAGACGAGGAGCACCCACGGAGGGGCACACAGATTTACATCACAATGTCAGCTGACTATTAACCAGCCAGAGTGTTTGCTAGATGTTTAGAACAGATCAATATGGATGCACCATAATTTTTTTTCCAGCTGAATAAAAACAAATAAGCTAATAATGTTCGGACCAAAGGAGGAGAGATTCAGAGTTAGCTCACAGCTTCAGCTACTACAGCTAGAAACCACTGATCTTGGCTGAAATCTTTGTCATGATTTTATCTAAAGCTCGGACCCACATGCAGTGAAGCCAAACAGAGAGACACAGAGTAAGGTTTGAAATGGGTTTTATTGAAAGGTATTTGGAGTTCGGTGCAGAGTTCCTCCGAACACTGCTCGGCCGAAAACTGAAAGATGAGGGGAAGACAGATTGTTAGGTTCAGGCTCAGTGGGAAATTGGAGTTGTTTATCTTGAAGGAGAGGATAGTTGCAACTCACGTTTCCTGAGAAGAGGAGACACATAGACACCAGTTTGTGTGTAGGTCTTCCAGGGTTTGTTTGATTCGGTGGAGGGCGGAACAGGGTTTACCCAGAACTCAGATAGAGTGGAATGATGCAGCTGCTGGTTGCAACTCAGTTTTCCTGTCGTACTTGAACGGGTCGTGGTGAAGATGACTTCCTTACTCAGAGAGAGTTCTCAGCATGCTCAAAGGGGTTTGATCCAAACAGGAGGTTTGGTATCCGTCGCTCAGTGTAAGGCTCAGTTGATCCCACTTGGGAGAAGGCGGTCCGAAAAGGTCCAGTTTGCAGGAAGGCTTCCTGCCGAAAGGCAAAGAACAAACAAAGTTGAGACTCAGTTAAACTCAATGTGATCTCAGCTTGGCTAGAGAGCAAAAACTCAAAATGCAAAAACTCAGATAAGACTCAGCATAAACAATGCTTGGCTAGAGTACCCCAAACTGGCAAACACTCTGGCATCAAAGTAGTGGCAACCAGCAGCTTAAGAGTAGTCCGGTGATGAGGCAACAGCTTGCAGGTATGTGAGAAGGCAAACTGGAGCCAGGCGCCTCCTGGTGGTGGAAGGGAGAAACACAAAAGACAAGACAAACAGACAAACACAAAAACTGGGATCCTGACAATCTTGGTGTCATAATGGAAACAGACCCGAATATTTGGAGGCACATAAAGGCTGTTACCACGTTAGCCTTTTATCATCTGAAGATGTCCAAGCATGATCTAGAAAAATTCAATCAGTTCAATTTCAATTGAGTTTATTTATATAGTGCCACTTCACAACACATGTCATCTGAAGGCAGTTTACAATTCAACCATATCATTCAGTCAGATTGGTTAAATGTTTTCTATCTAAGCAAAGCCAGCTGATTGCATCGCCTCATTGACTCGAAGGCCATACCTCACACCAAACATGTTTGTAGCGAGAGTGGAGTGGAAAAACTCCCCTTTAACACGAAGAAACTTCCAGCAGAACCAGACTCAGAGTGAGCGGCCATCTGCAATGGCCGACTGGGGTTCAAGGAGACAAAAGCAGAGACACTAAAGGCAACAGTCAACCAGCTACACAGGAGGCCCCGATCCAGGAAAGACACAGCCAGGCAGACGAGCTCCAAGTCAGCTCCAATGTCAGAGCATGAAAGAGAGCACATAGTCCGTCGCAGTCCATTTATCTTTAGCAAAATTGAATAATGCAATAGTATTTTCATATGTTTGCCTGAAAAGTCCATTAGAGCTACAGCAGATCCAAAACGCTGCTGCCCATGCTCTCACAAGAACTAAGAAAGTAGAACACATCAGCCCAGTTCTGAAGTCCTTCCACTGGCTCCCTATATCTCAGAGAATAGACTTTGAAATTCTTCTGTTAGTTTATAAATCAAAGGATGGATCAGCACCTCAATGCATAACCGATTTGTTGTCAGTGTATAGTAGTAGCCATTCGAAATTTCCCCACTTTCCTTCATGGGCCCTTGGCTGGTCCTCTAAAATTCCTTTTTAAACATCAATCTTTGTACTAAAATATTCTGTCATGATTTGTGGACAGTAAGATTTAAAGGTAGCGCCATCTCCTGGTCAGACCCTGTCATTCAGCGAAAGGGTGGAGTCAGAGTAAAAAAAAAGCATACACAGGAGAAGGCCAGTGGCTGGATGTTGGAGTGGATTTGCTTGGGAGTTGCAGGGAAGTAGGTTGCCATTTGGCTGCCGTTTGACTGGGAAGTGCAATTTTGAATGGCTGCTACTGTCCCAGAGCACTCAGGTCTTCAAGCCTACTCTGTCCACCCAGATCTAGAACCAAATATGGAGAAGCATCATTTAGTTCCTTTGTTCCACTGATATGGAACAAACTCCCAGATGACTGCAGAAGTGCTGAAAGCCTGAATTCTTTTAGGTCAAAGTTTAAAACCTATTTTGACTGTTGAAGTTAAACTGCTAACTGAGGTATGATTAGTTTAAGGTTGTGGTCCAACTGTTTTGTTTCATTCATGTCTTTTATCTTTATTTGCTTTTATTCTGCTTTTATTTGTCTCCTATTTTATTATCTAATGCATGTAAAGCACTTTGTATTGTCACTGCACTGAATTGTGCTATACAAATCAGCTTGCCTTGCCGACCTTTTGTGATTCTCAGCACCTTTTACCTTCCTTATTGCAGACTGTGGGCTTCCTGTCACATTTTGAGGGCTGTGCTCTGAAAAACCAAAAGGGGTGAGGGGTCAAACAGGCAATTTATAGCAAGATTTTCCAAGGCCAGAGGGAGATTTTTCATAAGAACGACAAATAAAAGAAACAGTGATCTCAGGCGCCAAGTTGAAAAAAAAAAAAAAAAAAAAAGGAAAACTGACCTATAAAAAGTACTTCAAACTAAAGTTTGATAGCAACACATTACGTGCTTTTATCCACATACACAGAGCTTCAGCTCACATGAAACTAACACCTCTCTAACCTTAGATCTGCTCACCTGTCTGTTAGTTGTCTTCTTATCCATTGTTAGATGTGTATATATTTGACATAAAAGTTTCACATAAAAGTATAATGTAATGCCATCTTTACAAAAACAACAACTCTAAATTGGATCAAGACTTTATTGAAACATTTTCTAAATCAGCTTCCTGATGTAAGACAGGCACTGATGTCATCAGGAAGTAACACCTTGGAAACCTGATGCAGCGTGCAAAGTTTACAGCTTTAAGAACAAACCACTTTCAGCCATCGAGTCATTTGTTTACAAGATAGCAGAAGAGACAGAGAGAAACACTGATTTGATACAGAGGGATTAAAATTTATTTTTTCCTGATGCTAATCCTTACGTCTACAGGTAGGTTAACCTACAATAAAAATATACACCTAATTAACATTTATTCTATATATTCTCGAATTGACTGCTAAAATGATATTTATCCCAAGATAGAAAATATTTGTATATATTATATATAAATTAAATTAATTTAATATAATTAAATTAAACTTCATATGTCTTAAGTTTATACTAACATTTTTTTTATTGTCTGGCTTATTTCCTCAACAGCAACTGCAAAGCAAAATGGATCCTTCTTCATCGTCAGAGTTGGTGATGAAGTCACTTTGCCTTGTAAAAATGTGTCTGATGGGCAATATGAATGTGACGGAACCACTTGGCGCTTCAGGGGATCCATACAAACAGTGACATTGTTTGAAGATGGTCAGTTTAATTCAACAATTAATTTAGACAAACTGAGTGTTTCTGCTGACTGCTCACTGGTTATAAAGAATGTCACTATTAAGGATGTTGGTCAGTACGACTGCAGACAGTTAACATCAGGACAAGGAGAGAACTCTACTGTTTTTCTGTCTGTTATTTACAGTAAGTATGCATATGTTATGTTATTTGCTCAAATGGTTATGTTAAAAACAATTTACAGATGATGTAGCTTTCAATCTTTCATCTTACTATTTCTATCTTCATCAGTGACTGAACAGAAGACCAATGATTCAGTTGTCTTAAACTGTTCTGTAGTGGACTATAATCACCTTAGACACACAGTGGAGTGGCTGTACGAGGGGGAAGCGAACATATTCTCACATACGGATACATCACCACCCACTTCTCATTCTTTTGTGGCACTGACGGCTCCTCTTCATCAAAACTCAGCAGCTTTTAGATCCAAGTGTAAAGTTACAAATAATGAATCTGGAAATGTTCAGCTTTTCACCTTTGGCCACCATTCACAAGTTCAGACAACAGGTAAGAAATCAAAATGTTTTCTTTACCTCAGGATCATTGATTGTAGGATATCAGGTTTATTCAGGTTTTCTATTGTGAAAAACGTGCATATTGTTTAATGTTGTCTTTTATCATTGTTTTTGGATAAAAATACAACCTAAGCTTTGTCAGCACAATAAAAAATGAGACTAAGCCAATAATCACAATCTCAGCTACAACTACTTAAAAAAGAGCATATTGTGGGAATTATTACTTTATATTTTCTCAGATACAACAGGCCATCTTTCTAGCCCGAGAAATCTCATAAAATATTCCAGTTTTATTGAGTGACTCAGAGTAAGTCCAACTACTGGTAAATTAGATCTTTTTAAGAATCTCTGAATTTTGAATTTGAACGATATTTAAAATGAATAGGTGAGATAAATGCCATGGAAATATGGTGAAATATGATCTAAACAGCTGTATTTACGAGGCCACAAAACTTCAGGTTCTGCCATCCAAATTTACTATGGTCCTGCCTATGTGTCCTTTTCGGAATGAATTTATTACAAAATAAGTCAGGGCGTAATTTTAAAAATCTCCTATTTGCAAAGGTACTATCCATTATTCTCCCTAACAACCTCTTGTTCCTTTTTTTTCTGGTTCATAAAGCTATTCTTAACCAGTAGAACTCTGGTAGAATAGAATTTCCCTGTATCGTTCTAAAACGAGGAAATTTAGGTGTGAGTGGCATCTTTACTGTCATAACTGTTGATGTAAGACAGCTTAAAAGTGCATTTCTACAGATATATTTATGCAACATATTATTTTATAAAAGACAATATTACACAAACTTTGGACGCTGCTCTGTTAAGAAATGAGCAACAAATTAAAATATGGTGTAAAACTGTAGAACTTCTAGAGTCCACTTACAAATAAATACCTTTGTTTGACAAATTTAATGTGCTTTCTTTAACGTCTGTCTGTAGCTGCAAAGGTACTGACTACTAAAACCACCACAAACACTACAGTCTAATTTGAATAAATAAGGCTCAGCTTATTCTGCAAGTTTGTAGAAAAGGAACTAGAATCTATCAAATCAGATTAAATAGTTTCTTGCAAATTAGCAGCATGATTAATATAAGCAATTGTTTTTCCAGATTTATCCTGGTGGCCAATTGTAGTTTCTGTGGCTTCAACAAGCATCTTAATAATCATCGTGGTGTTCATCACATGGAAGAAAACTAAAGGTCAGAACCATTAAAAATATATCTTTTGCATAAAAGTTATTTTGGTTTCAATTGATATCAAGGCATGAAAAAATGTATTCACCTCATATTCAATGCAATTGGATTGCTGGTATGATGATTGTCATTTTCTGCTTATAAAGTATTAATAATAATCATTACACTTTACACATTACACTCAATCGCTTTTTCAGGACGTGACAAAAAGAGTCAAAGGGATACGGTGAGTTAAAATTAAGTATTTTTTATATATTTTTTTATTAAACGATAAATGTGCAAAATAACATTCATCAAAACATGTAGATTAAACCAAAAATTAATTAAGAGAGAACACATTGATACTGCCTTTGTCTGTATTTCTGCCTGGAACCGAATTTATGGCCTATAGTGACTATTTTGGATCACAATCCAGGAGAGGATTTGGTGAAAGCAAGGCTAGACCACTTCAAAACTCAAGCACACTGTTAGTTGATATATTTTCTTTAAAAGTTGCTTAAATTACAGAAATTCTGCAAATAACTTCACCTTTTTTCATAAAGCACCGATTCACGTGTATCTCAAGACACTTCAAAGAGTCAAATTAAACAAAATATACAGACAGATCAATACTATTTAATATTTCTTTTTTTATATAGAATCAAAGAAATACCATGTTGCATCAAAGATATAAGATGTCTTTCAGAAACTGTTAATAGCCAAAAAGAAAACACACACACATGAAAAGCTTTTATGGGTTTGCAAAAGTTCAAAAAAGTGCTGGTGGTTCATGTGGTAATCTGCCTCTAAAAAAAGAAAAAAAAGATTTACTATTGGGAATCCATTGGGACCCAGTTTCAAGTCAAAGTGTAAGATTATTACTCCACAGATGAATTGCATTAGAGGAAAAAAAAATAATGTAAAGCTATACATTTTTACATCTGCACATGTTTCAACATTACCTTCTGTTTTTAACTATTAACTTTTTAAAGTTAATAGTTGCCTTTTACAAGAGGCCGCTTGAACATACTGTGGTCACCACCTAAACAGTATTGTCATTAACTAAACAAGGGATGTTTTGACGAAATAAAGAACCTGGAATCATCAACTAAAAATTGTGATGGTGTTTGGTTCAATGTATATTAAAACTAACAAATCCTTAAGTTTGTAAGCAGGCTGAACAACTTTATGCCTTTATCAATGAAAACTGGATTAGACATCCAACGATCGTGATAAATCAGTCATATAAAAAGTGTTAAAATAACATATTTTCTAATTTACCAGAGTTTTTTTTGATAAAAATATAGATTTACATGGTAGATGAAAATTTTTAAGCGATCAAATTTCAAACAATCAATGTAACTATTGGTTTAATCTTCCAGTTAATTGTATTTCAGTAGTGAAAAACTTTGAGAGAGGAAAAATATTCCAAAATTATAATAAACAAATTAAGAATTAAATGTACAAGTGCTAAAATATATACCTTGGATGTTATAACATACCGAGGGACACATACAGATAACATGTGGAAGTTTTCTCTTTCTTTTTTTCTTTTAGTTAAATTTTTTTCTAATGTTTCCATCTCTGACTTTGCACCAATAGTAGCTGGGGTCTTACTGTCGGGTGGACACGTGTCTTTATGCAGATAATGACCACAAACAGATGTATCTTATTTAGATTAATGAAGTGAAGTGACGTTTTTTTTTTTTAAAGGCAGATCAACAGGTCCTTGAGGGACAGAATTTTTGCTTTTTGGAAGGTGTTCAAATACTTGCAAAATTGTAGGGTTTAAATTAAATACTTACTTTCCTCCCTGTATGTCTCCTTCTTTTGTCAGCTCATTTATTCAGTAGTCACCATATGACTCAAAGACTCGGTCAAGTTTTAACACTGTATGGCCTTTCTAAAACAATGGGATCCAAACCCAAGTTCCTTATTCCAAGTCCCTCTGTTAGGATATTTAAATTCTTTTTTTTTTTCTTTTGTGTGTAGGCTTATCCTGGGGTGGACATTGTTTATGCATCAGTTTGCCACAGAAAAGACAGAAGGAAAAAGGTGGGTGGTTCCTTTGTTAATAGTAAACAGGTTGTATCGCTTCCAAGCAGATTTCTTGTGCGGTAAAAACCGGCAAGAAAAGTAGAAAGTATACAGGTCTTTGGACTTAACAAGCCAGGGTATTACTATCAAAATCATAGCTGAACTATTGTTTGTTGCTAAGCAACACTGCTGTTAAACAGCAGTGGATCTACCTTGGCCAGTAGGAGTTGTTCTCGAGCACCATCACATTTTCTGCTACAATTTAAATTTGCAGTCAATTAGTATGGAACTAAACAATGAAAATCAGAAGCTTGTGTGACCTTACTAAGTCAATATAACACCTGATACGCAGTAAGCATAGTAGCTAATCAATATGTATCAGGAAAGTAAATGTCACCTTCTGCAGTTTAAGAGTTTAATAATTCAAGGTAGGAGAGTTTGAGGCAAGGTAGGAGATCGATGTCCAGATATCAGAAGCCAATAGGAGTATACGGCTGGAGCAACACAGACAAGAAAACAAACAATGAAACAAGACAAGGCAAGATAAGGAGTTCAACACAAGGATTGCTTAAAGGTGTAGTCACATGAATGGCTTTCAAGAATCTGGCATTTACCCACTGGGAGAGCAAGAAATATATATTGCAGCTCCCAGCCACAGTAGCTCCTAGTAAATGAAGCTGCCACAGTTGTACCTACTCAGAACTGACTACCAGTAAAGGAGAGAAAGCAGGGAGTGAAATCATAGGACTGTACACAGCAGCTTCACCTGCAGGAACAGGCTGGAATCATTACAAGTGTCATAGTTCTGGCATTTGTGGACTTAGTTTTGAGTTTCTTGGTTTTCAGTTAAACTTTGATTTTGTGTTTTCTTGGTCAGTGGTTTCTTTCCCATTTTGTTTTATTGTAGTTGTTTTCTAGTAATTATTTGTTTCTTGTGTTGATCTCTGTTGCCACGCTGTGTCAGTCTCAGTTTCCCTGAGCTTCTAGTTCCTTCTGTCCAAAACTGCGCCCTATCAGCTGATTAGCCCAGTCTTTGTTCCGTCTCCCATATATACTCCTCCTGTGCAGTTCCTCGGTTCCCTTCTTTACGTTTTTCCTGTGTGTTTCTCTCTGGCATCTCCTGGTTTTTGGTTTCCTGTTTTTGGATTTATTCTTTTGTTGTCATTTGTTTCAAAATTAAATCTGCAAGAACTTGTGATGGGTTCATGAAGCGTTTAAACACATTTGCAAACTGTATTGATACTTTGCCACTGAATACTGACACCTGCTGGACATTTAAAATCACTAGAGACAACATCTTTGACGGACTAAATTGACACTGATTTATTGACCCATAATATGATTTAAGCTAGTGTTTGCTATAATGTATTATTTCATATCTATCCTTTAAACTGAAAATATGTTTGCTATTTTTATATGCAATTCGTGAATATGAACATACAACAGGAAAATGTAGGAGAACCCTTGAATAAGGATGTTTGTGGACTAAAATGTTTTTATTGAAAATAATAACTACAGTAAGAACAGCAAACTAAGAGTATATTGTACAATAGAATAGTGTATAACTATTATTATTATTCCTCAGTGTGGAAATCTGGATAGAACAGTTAGGTAATCTCTACATATCCTTTAACAGAAAACATGTCTACATTTTATATTTGTTTTAAATGTCTTCTAAATCCTTCCTGTTGATATTTGGAATTAAAAAAGTGGCAGTGGGTTGTAAAGTACAGTAGTAGCCATTCAAAATTTCCCCACTTTCTTTGATGGGCCCTTGGCTGGGTCTTGGCTGGTCCCCTACAATTCCTTTTTAAACATCAATCTTTGTGCTAAAATATTCGGTCATGATTTGTGGACTTTAAGATCTAAAAGAGAGACATCATCTTCTGGTCAGACCCTGTAATTCAGGGAAAGGGTGGAGTCAGAGTAAAAAAATATGCACACCCAGGAGAACAGGGCTTCATCCGAGAGGCTGAATGCTGGAGGGGAATTTGCTGGGAGTTGCAGGGAAGTATGCTGCCATTCGGCTGCCGTTTGACTCGGAAGGGCCATTTTTAATGGCTGCTACTGTAATCTTGACTTTAAAGACTTAAAGGTTGGCGAAACTCTTTAACTGTGTCTCATGTAAATGTTGTTTTCTGGTTCTTTTCTTAGGTCAGTTGCCATGTGACCTACAGCACTGCGGACCTTTCCTCTCCTAAAGCTTCCCATAATCAAGACGTTGTCTATTCCACACTTAAACACAAGGAGTAACATTGTTATTGAATGTGTTGTTTTCAGAAATACTGGCTTTGGTCTCTAAAAGGGATTTTGAGGCAAACCAGTTCCATTGTTGAGATGGAACTGGGGTTGCACTTTGCTCTCAAGAACTACTTCTTAAATACTTTGAAAGATCCAGATTGGCTCCATAACGTTAGTGAGAACCTCGACCCTCTCTCAGTTGGTTCTCCTGTTAAATTAATGTGTCATTTTAAACATGTTGCTTGTCAAATGTTTGATCCTCTGGTAAATAATGAGCTACTGTGGAAGATCACAGAGCAGAGGACTAAAACATGTTAATGCTGTCCTAATTAATAAGCAACACTTCTGAAAACATTTTCTAATAAACTAAACAGCAAAATTATTTCATACAGCGTGTTATTTTTATTTTGATGCTTACTGGATCCTTTAGTTATGTTTTGGGCTATCTTTAAACATGGCAGATCAAAAGTGAAAACTAACTTGCGACCTTTAGCAATGGAGCTCCAAATGTGATTGTTGGTCAAACTCCATTTGCCTTTAGGTGCTGATTAAAGTGGCTCTGTTGTTTAAAGTTGGAGACTGAGAAGTCCCAGTGTATTGGTGCCAAAGCTAAGCATGGACTAGAACTTTGGTTATAACGACTCCTACCATTTGAAAAACTGTGCTATTAAACATGCTACCTCTAAAGAATTGGCTAAAAAATATAATTTTTGGATCTTCATTTTTTTTTACACAGATATAGATTTAGTTGTGGAACTTACTTGAGCTTAAACAGGCATTAGCTTTAACTCTGCATGTTTGCAGATGGTTGTTTTGACCACAGACAAGCCAGACCACTGCTGCAGCTGCTGCTGTTTCCACATTCATTCATGTTTTGCAAACAAAAAGAAACCAAATTTCCAACCACTAAGACACTTTTGCAACATGGTCTTCTGTGAAAGAAGCAATAGATACAGCATTAATTACGATTCTTTTTCAGACTGATTAAAAATGACCCTTGCAGATGCTATTTTTCTGTGTATTAGGTAACAAAAAAATATTTCCAATCAAGCCAGTTATGTCAACCTAAAGGTTTCAACACTTTGTGAAAAGTAATTTTCCAAGGTATAAATAACACGGTAGAGAAACATTTTTGTCATTTAAGAGAAGAGACCAAGCTAATTCTGATGGCAATGCAATAAAGCAGGCATCCCCAAACTCAGTCCTCAAGGCCCCCTGTCCTGCAGGTTTTAGAGGTTTCCTTGCTCCAGCACAGCTGATTTTAATTGAAAGCTGATTAACAGGCTTTTGGTCTACTGCAATCATTATAACCAGCTGTGCTGAAGCAGAGAAACCTCTAAAATCTGCAGGACAGGGAGCCTTGAGGAATACAGTCAAACAGAAGTCATAATAACAAAGTCAGAGGTCAACAACTAGAGTAAAACAATATTTATATTCTAATTGACCTTTGTCTACTTCATGATAAGAATTTCTGTGGTTTATATGTTCTGTACATAATATTTTACTATCATCCACCCATTTCAAACACAGGAACAAACAGGACAAGCAACCATTCACACACACTCACACCGAAGAAGAATTTAGAGAAACCAATTAACCTAACAGTCATGTTTTTGGATTGTGGGAGGAAGCCGGGGTACCCGGAGAGAAGCCACGCACGCTTGAGGAGAACATGCAAACTCCATGCAGAAAGACCCCTGGGTAGGAACCGAACCCGGAAGCTTCTTGCTGCAAGGCAGCAGTGCTACTCACTGCTCCACAGAGCAGATATTAAAGGCACACGTCAGACTTTGTGACCTAAAGAGTTGACATATAGGACTTAATTTTAAAGATTTCTCAGGCCAATATACACTTGCCACTATCAATGTTACGGGCGGGGTTCCCCTCTTGAGATACCAACCATGTACAGTATGTTGGGCCAGGTTGTGTGACCTGGAAGAACGTTTTGCTTTATGGCCGCAGGCTCTTATACCATCATGGTGCTAAGTCTTTTGCTGTACTATTTTGCCACTTGCATGACTACTGGTGAGGCAAGGAAAAAGTTTAAAACTTGTGAGGTTTAAAAAAGAAAACGTGAAAGGGATGTGCCTGAGAAAAAACAAGAGTCGATCGTGGAAAATAGTTTTTTCGTTGGTGCAGGCAGAAAGAAGAAGCCGGATGTAAGACTGATTCTCTTTTCTCAACTTTATTATTAGACTGGTAAGTTATTACTTTGCTTCTAGTATACAGTCATATATCTTTGTTATTATTTTCGATGATATCAGGGTGCTGCAGTGGTTTATGTGCCGGCATACTCTGTTTTTCTCCCTCTCTCCTGTAGGTGGATGCTGATTAGCAGGAAGGTCTGGTGCTGTGCGCAGGTGTGTTAGGTTTGAAGTGGTTGTTCGGCTATGAATCCCAATTTGGAGCACCTTCCATGAGTCATAGATTTTGCCGAGCCAATTATCCACTGGTTCACCCTGCAGCCTCTCAGAGATTCAAGCTGTCATGCCACCGCTAAGTCAATGCAATGCCCAGATGACTGTCACTCACCGCCAACCTGCAGACTGATCAACCGAGCCCTGCCGAACCCTCCACTGACCAGCCTCCTCCCACTTGGCAGCCACCTTTTCCGCTGCAAGCTACTGCATTTCCCACCACGGACCTCCACAGCCCCGTTCACCCCTCCCCCACCGGCGGATCATTTACAACTCACGAGGTAAGCCTTTTAGTGCTTTTGTCGTTGATTAGAGACTTCACACTCATTTGCCTGCAACTAGTGAAAAATTTTAATCATTGTGAGAATCATTGTGCTAGCAGAGTAAGGTGCAGGTCAGGATCAAGACAGGATGTCCTCAGGACAGGCAGACATTCCTATTAAAACCTATCATGTCAGTTTTTTAATGGCGTCCGTTTGAAGGCACCAAAAAGAGATCACAGAAGCTGGTATAAGCAGTTTATTTCAGGAGTAAGAATGGAGGACTTTCTGGAACTGGAGCAGCAATCGGAAGTATCACTTGAGACGAGAGGTAAGTTGTAAATCCTGGAGGTAATTCTTTCAATCCTAGGGAGTTTTATGTGTTAGTACGGAAGACCAGAAAAATAGCATGCAGGATTCCACAAGGCTCCACTCTGGGGCCCCTCCAAATCAACATCTACATGCTCCCCTTTGGTCTGATTATAGCAAACTACATGATAAGTTGCCATAACTATGCAAAAGACACGCAGCTTTACATCAAAATGTCACTAGGTGACTGTGCACCCATCAGAGCATTGTCAATATGTAGATGCACCATCATTTGCCGACCAGAGGAAGAGGGATCCAGAGTTAGCTTGTGAGCACCACATTGGTATCTTCGTGCTACAATAGGTCCTTTAAAAATTAGAGGGAGCTAGTGAGTCAGAAGCCAGGGACCTGAGAACAAATCAGGTTTAAATTCCGATTCTCAGATTCAGAGAATTTACTCTCTTTAAATTGTTTCTTAAAAAAGCTAAAATACAATGAAATTGTCTCATTAATAAAAAAAAACTCAGTAAAACGACTAAAACAGGGATGCATCCAGTCCAGGATAATCGTGTCCTTAATTTGGGACTAAAAGACCCTTAAAATGCCGGAATCGCAGCACCAAAGACAGCAGAGAAAGTTATTTCCTTCGTTCCACCCTGCAGTCGTCTCCCGATTGGCTCAGTAGTGCCCCGTCCCTGCTCTGATCCACCTCTCATTTGCCACTGAGCTCCTACATGTACAAACACATGTTGGGCAAAAGTGTTGTCCATGAAGCCAAAGTATCTTTACTGCATCCCTCCTAACAAGGCGAAAACTTTCAGATGTCGGTGGAAAATGTTACTCACAAATGCGGGGAAAGTTTCACATCTGCCAACTGTCAATCCAACACAAAGTTTTCAACTGAACTCTTGTTTCTGCCACAGAAATGGTCCACGTCTGCTTATACTGGGCGATCACTTAGTCCTCTCACCCCGCCTGGCTGCCAGATGCTGCTCCCTTCTTTTCATGTAGTGAGTTCTTCACCCCATTGTTCTGCCCAATGCCCTTGGCAGGGATGTAAAACAGTTGATAGGTGGCGTCAAGGCAGACCCACAACTCATGGCTATCATCAAGTAAATTGTCCTTAGAGTCCACAGTGGATGAAAGCAATGCAACAGTAAAAACATGCAATAAAATAAAAAAAAAAATCATGCACAATTCAAAATATTTACATAATCACACTTTCAAAATAAAACAAATTTCCATTGTGGCACATCCCCCTATGTTTTAACTGTGACAGCCCTTGTCACATTATTTGGACTATCTATAAGGTGAAGGAGGCCGATAAATATTTTAGCTTGCCAAGCGTTGTGGCTCTGGTAGTCCCTCAGTCTGCAAGGCTGGATTAGTGGGCATAAAACAATAAAATGGATGTTTGATTGCCATCTGCGCCTCAGGATTAAGCTGAACTACAGGTTGGTGGTCGTCTTCAACAGAGGGTATACATAATTTTAAAGAATAGAGGATCTTCTCCCCCCTCTCTTTCTTGCTGTACATTGTATACCATACCTGTATCACTAACACGTTCCAGTAGATCATTTGGTTCTGAACTCCAGCCTCGATGCAGCTTTTCTTGCCCCTGGCTATTCCTGGCCTTCATCTGTGTGTGCCCTTGTATCATAAACCCTTTTCCTTTCGATACCTGCTGCACTCATGTTCTTCTTGGCTGTTTCATAGTAAAAAAGATAACTTTTGATGGTGGTCCCTAACCCAACCATCCAGGTCATGGCATAGGGGTTCCTGATCAACACCCTGGTTCACCTACCAGCTACCAGTTGTCTCAGATGCCTCCAAAACATTAGGTATGATGGGGCGTACCCTGTGGCTTTGTTGTAGAGTGTTATTATATGCCTGTTAAAGCTCTGGTAAAAATTCTGTCCACCTCTGCTTTTCCCTGCTTCAAATGAACGCAACGTGTGCAGTAGTGTCCGATTCAGCTGCTCAAACCCACCATTACCAGCAGGATGATATGGGGTGGTTTTATTTTTTGTAATGCCATAACTCCTGTATAACTGGTAAATCTTTGCAGATTCAAAGCTAGCTCCTATATCTGAATGTAGCTTAGGAGGGCAACCAAATGTCTGAATGACAATAGTCAAGAGCTTGTACTGTAGTCTGAGCCGTCTGATCTTTTGTGGGGACTGCCCATGCATAGCACGTAAAAAGATTTGTCATGACCAGAATGTTCTGACATCTGTCTGTAGGCCTCCTCAATGTGATATAGTCCATAACTAAAAAAATCACAGGGATAGGACACTACAATGGATGCAAAGAGGCTATGTGCCCATCTCTATTTCACAGCTACTGACAGCACAACCCAGCTGGAATGCACGGCAATCCCCCTCTATACTTCGCCAATAAAAGAAGCAACGTCTCCTCTCGGTACTGTACTTCCTCCACAACTAATTTCAACTCTCTGTAGGACAAAGTATTTGAAAGTGGATTTAATGTGTGCTAGAGTCCATTACCTCTCCACACAGTACCCCTTCGCGGAGTTTAGGTCTCTTCCACTGTTTTAGCCCCTTCTGTACTTGTCGTGGCAGTGATTTCCTTGCTTGTACATCACAGAGGGATCCTTGTTCCAGAAAGCTTCTCAGTATCTGGAGATCAACATCATTCTCTTTTGCCCCCTTCCAGTTATCCATTTGAGCCAAAGGCTGGCTGGGTCACCTGGAGCAGCAGACCTCGTTGTGAGGTGAGCTGCTTGACAGTGAGCTGGAAACCTGGAGAGGGCATCAGCATTAGCATTTTCTCTTCCAGCCCTGTACTTCACCTCAAAATCAAAGGCAGCCAACTATGCCAGCCAACATTGCTCTGTTGCCCCCAGTTTGGCATTTTTTTAGGTGAGCAATGGATTGTTGTCTGTGAATACAACAAATCGGCCC